ATGCTATTATAAAATGTTAAAATAAAAAAAGAAATAACCTGAAAATTTTGAAAGACTATACTGGCTACCGAAAGGGATAGCTGTCGGTTTTTCAGCAGATGCGGGCCATGAAGTTATATCGATCTGCAAAAAAAAATCGTTTTAATTTCATAGCAACTTGATCACTCAAAGTAAAAAAAAAACAACCAAAATTCATAAATGAACAAATTTTACCTTTACCCCACTTATTCCCTTCTTAACATAACAGCTATGTTTTGCCCGAATAATCATTTAAGACGCCAATGAGTACTACTTTTCTCCGTCCCAATTAGAGCCTGATTTACATGCAGTTTCCAAATGGCAATTTTTATACAATCACACTGAGGCATCCGTATGAATGTGACATTGCCAACCCGTTACATGCATTAGTTTTGCAATTTTAATACATTTACATCGACAAGCACGTGCCTGACAACTCCTCATGTGTATTAGCTTCGCCGTCTTTCCCTACCAGTTCCTTTATCCGTCTTACATCGCTCGATTTTCATAGTGACTAGCAGTACTGCCCTCGCGTTAAACGTCGAAAGGGGAGACAACCACTTCGATAGCAAATTGATTCTGGTGCCAGACAAAGAGGTAAAATCGCCATCAGTTTGTTTAAAACAAACCCTCAAGCGAATCGCTGCTGTGAGCATATGACATCCCCGAGCCACATCTCAGCTCCTCAATGGCATCTTTCATCTCCTTGATAAGAGATAAAGATACGGTTTTGCTTTTTGATGATTCTCCACAATTTTTCTCCCTTTTAGATACAATCCCAACGATTTCGCCCGGTTCCGAAGCACTAGTGCTACATTACCATCGGGCACCAGTGATTTGAAAGAGATGGAGAAAAATGCTTACACGATTAGCAATGGCATACATTTCCACATATTGCTGGCACTTCAGCATCAGTGTTAGCTCCTTGTTCCGTTCGAATAGCCCAGGCCATGTGGCTTCGACAATTCTCATCGCCTCCGCGACTTGACCATTCAAAATCAGTCTTCTCAGTTCTAGAATCAATCTTCTCAGTTTAAAATAAGACCAGTTTTCAGCACGTCGTACACTGCAGGTGTGGATGAGAAATGGGTCTTACACAAAATAGCATAGAATTAGCCCGAAGATGCAAATCTGCATCCAAAAACCAACAAATAGGTACAGAATATTTTTGATGAGCCAGGGCAAGATGGCCGCACCGTCAACTGCCTGGAAATTTGCTGCGTGGCGGCAATGGCTGTCTTGCGCTTTCCAGCAACAAATGATTCGTGTGGAGTGAAGCAGTGCCGTATTCAACGCTTTCAAAGAATTAGCTTGGAAGCGTCGGAGAGAAATTTATAAATTTCCGTTTATTTTACATCACCTTACTTACAAATTTATGTTCATTTATTTTATGCTATCTTACTTATATTAGTACCACAATCTTCGCACTGACAAGATCCAGTTGGTGAGCTGAAGAGGGATACATGCGATTTTACGGAACAAAAAATTCCCCTTCATCTTATTATTTACTATATCTTTTAATATATTTTTATATGTTATATATATATGTATATATATATATGTATATATATATATATATATATATATATATATACATACATAAATACGTACCTATATACATACATTTTTACTTTGTGTGTCGCGAATACTTCTATAACTTGTATTTGGAGTGTGGTTAGCGGCCATATGTCACGTTAATACAGTGTGCACGTGGTCCAGTGTCAGTGGTGGAAATGCCGAGAAGCGGGAGACGCAGAAAGCGAAAGGCTGAATTCCCGGAGTTCAGAAACTACTGCTAGACGTTTTTTTTTTGCTGGCGGGGAATTCCTAGCCAGACAGCATTCCTCAAGCAAACTGAGTGAAATTTTCCACCCTATATCGTCGAATTTGCGCCGCCTCATCACTACCACATTAACTACAACGCTCCGGAGAACTCAGGAACTCCCTCGGATATATATGGACAAAAAGCGCTAGCTCAGTGAAACGAACAAAACCGATATAGTTAGGAAAGACATAGTTCCGGGCAAATGGCGCCCTACTCAACAACACGGATGATGAAACCTGCGTGCAAATCACTAAACTAAGTTCTGACACACTAAGTTCTAACTTCTAGTTATTCAGAATTTCAGAAATCAATGCAATGAACCTCGGCGCTGTTCCATTTCAGTCGTCTCGATTTCACATCTGCTCAGGGGCGGACCGATTCCTTGCTCTTCGGAGTGCTTGTGGAAGGCAACCAATGCACGACCATATCCTTCATGCGCAAGCCACGATGAAACTGCGCTTAAAATGAATAACACTGGGGAAACAGCAATATAAACGAGTTTTCAAAAGAAGTTCCCCTGCAAACTTTATGCAGCATGCTAAATCGAAACGTGGTCACTGACGAAAGCTGAAGAGCAGACAGTAGCTCTGATGGCAGAACGATGCTTAGCGTGTCGCTCTGTTCAGGGGGCTACACCAGAAAAAAAAATCGATTGGCAGTAGTGGCAAATGTAGCTTGCCCTGTTGACAACCGATGGAGGTCGCAAGTCAATGAGTGACAGCTGGGAGAAACTATATGGTGATTAGAGCGATCTTCCAAGAACTAGTACACGTACAGTGAACAGGCAGTATTAAGTGAAATGCAGCTCTTTAGGATATACTAAGCAGCTGCTGGCATAACGGTACCCGACATGTGCATGTTCTGCAGCGTGAAAAAGAACCTCCACTATGGAGAAGACCAGTCAAAGTTTTACAGCTTTACAAAGTAACAATCGCTCACCATTCCATCCACATTACTTTCGTCTGCGGTAACTCCGTCTTGCTAATCTCAACCCGAATAAGATTACACATTTCCTGCAACAGTCATTAGGGCATATTCAGTACCTGAAGCAAAAATAAAAAACTAGGTTGGATGGAAAAAAAAACTAGGTTGGATGAATTTCCTGATTGCTGTCCGCCTTCAAAAAAGAAATATTTGCTAAAATTTGATTCCGTTCTACCAGGCTAAGGAGCGAGAATGTGAAAAGTTGTATTAACTGGGAATAAGAGATAGAAGTGGGTAGCAGGGCACCAGGAACAGCGCTGGCTTAGGTCTCAAAAGGTTCCAGGGGAGTGGAAGAGAAGGGACTAGGATGTCGAATTCTTCTGCAACAGAAAAGGAATCCGCCAATGTTGCTTACTTCCATCTCGTTCTCGAAGTCGTACACGAATGGCCGTTCGCCGAAGTTGGAATC